TTGAGTGGAAACACCGATACCAAAGTATTTTGTAAATAAAAGACAGCGACCTGGCATTTATTTATTTAAATACTATCTATAGTTTACGCGAGTAGTACACATTTAAATAAAACACTAACGCGATATATTAGTTATAGTATAGATAGTTAAGTAACTAATATCGCGTTTTAAACCGTTAAAGTGTTTTATTTAAATGTGTACTACTCGCGTAAACTATGGACAGTATTTAATTAACCAGTACGGGCTGGACAATGCAAACAAAGTTCGATAACTAATATATCGCGTTTTAAACCGTTAAAGTGTTTTATTTATTTTTTATGATAAAGAAGGGTAGACAAGCATGAGGTTCATTTGATAGTTGGTGAAATATCCCAGATCTATTTGGCTTTGGATATTCGGAAATTCAAAGAGTCGAACTGAAACACGATTAAACGGTTTTCCTTAGAGGGTGGTTCGTGACCCGATTTGCAGACGAAGTCCGACATGTTTTAAAAACTTCAAAAGGTTGATAACTAGCCGTACATTGCTATCATTACACCAACAAGCCTATCAATAGGCCGACAGCTCATCAGCAGACAAGGCGGCTACCTCACACGCTTGTTATTACACAATGTAGTGATTGCCACCATTCAGTGTGATGACCCCAGTAGTTGACAATAACAATTCAATTCGCCGATCACAAGCCACCGGAACAAAGTATTATACTCGTAGTAACAGCTTGACAATTTCTCAGTTTATTTTCCAGTCCGGCCGCACCGAACGAGCGTCGGATAGACACACCCACTAGTCTTTGTTAAGGTATACGTCTATATTCATATGTTAGTATGTGTATTTATTTAAATAAAACAATTTGACGGTTTAAAACGCGATCACAGATGGCGCTAGCGTAGCGTTTTTTTACTATGACATTAAAGTCACCCTCCATCTTTATTCAGTCACCCCGTGACCGCTGCTGCTGCAAAGTTTTGTTTAAATGTCTACTACGCGCATTAACTACAAACAGTATTTTTTTATTATAACAGATGTGGACAGGCAAGCATGTGGATAATAAAACCACTTGATGAAAGATGAAATTTTCAGCCGTACAACATGTACATATTTATTTATTTTATTTATGGGGCTTACCAACTAAATATATAATAAAGCTTGAACTAATTAGATATTTCGATTGTGAATTAAACGTCTGCACCAAATGTCTATAAACTATCTGTCTATCGCTTATTAGGACATCGTTGTCACTATAAAGATCTGATGGCACGTTTTAACTTCCTTTCCCTGAGTCAACGCCGTGAGTTTCATCTTTTAACAACATTAAGAAAGATATGTTGTGCCGAAATAGATTGTCCCGATTTACTTCAACAGATTTACTTCCACATCCCCGCTCGATCTACGCGTACCAAAAACTTATTCTATGTACCAACGACTAGATGTAACACTGGTAAACGTGCCCCGCTCCACAATATGGCTTCATTGCATAATAACGCGTTGAATGATGTTGACTTGTTTTCGTGCTCGCAATTAACGTATAAATATAAGTTAAAAAAGTACCTAACCTGTAAAGATATCACACATATCTAAGTATTAAAGAATACCGTTTTTGTCATTTGTCACACTGTTTCTTGCCTTAAAAGCTTTTTCATATTTCTAAATCAAATGTTCTCAGAGAAACTTGTTAAGGTACTGTCTCTGAGTACATGCCTGCATGCATTTGGATTTTTATACAATTTTATTTTTCCCTAGACAATAAGAAAATTAGTTTTAAGTTATCATAAGAGACTGTACTGTTTAGTTTCCTTAATAAATAAATAAATAAAATAAATAAACTAAAATAAAAATGAAATTGAAGTAAATAATCATTCAAATTCAATAATGGTTATTAAATTCATGAAACTGGGAAAACATCGATCGTCTTTCTTTAAATATGAATAGTGATGAACTTTGGACATTCGGAAATCCGTACACAAAAATTTCACGCCTTCACTTGTGGACTCTTAACACTTAATTGCGTTAAGCAAAAGGACCTGATTTCGAATCCCGGAAAAAAACTGTTTTATTCAGGCAGGACATAGATGTTAAACTATATGTAAATAAAAACAGATACACATTATCAAACGTCTCTAACCAGTCTACTCGCATACGTCATCATTAAACTTCCCAAACATAATTACAGTACAATAATAAATAAATGTCTTCTAATGTAAGCACTTCACGTTATTAAATTGATTACATAATTAATTAATGGTAGGTGTAGTGTCTGTTATTTTCTCAAGTAATACACGTTTAAATAAATCATTTGTAACGGCTTGAAACGCAAAATATATTAGTATAAGATAACTACAATTCATTTCAACACGGCCGTTTATTAACTAATACATTTCGTGTTTTAAACCGTAAACGTCAGGCGCATTTCGGATGTTACATTACAAACACATTATGTAAATGTGTAGGTACTACTCGCGTAAACTACAGACAGTAGTTATATATCGTATAGTAGCGACTTTGGCCGCGTAGAATAAGTTATTTTCAGTATAAAATTTGGTCTTGTAAACCTCCTCCTTAGCTTTACAATTTATAGCTAGTTAAGTGTTACCCACGACTTTGGTCGCGTAAAGATTGATATTTCATCGATATTTTAAACTGATTTCCCAGGATAAACAACGCAATCCCTAAATATTTAAATATTTCCCCCCGTTTTATCCACATTCGCAGCGTGCTGTTTTATGGCCTAACACATTCCTCGGTAGATGCGCTACACAAAAAATCACAATTTTTAATTCGGTTCTGAGATTAGCGCGTTCAAACAAACTAACTCTGCAACTTTGTAATATTAGTATAGAATACTGCCTGTAGTTTACGCGAGCAGTACACATTTAAATAATACACTTTAACGGTTTAAAACGCGCTTTATATTAGTTAAAACTATGAACTGCTGCAAATCACCCGAAACGTCGGGCCGTAGTTAATATAATCTTCAAATAAGTTGAACTAATATTATATAATTTAAACCGTTGAAGTGTTTTATTTAAATATAAGTACAGATATTTAAATTGTTCCTTAGGTAATATTTATATTTTGAATAGCTCTTAAAAATAATCCGAATGGCCGTGAATCATGGTCAGCATTTAACAGCACGCAAATATAAATATGCAATGCAGCGATATTGCAGCATATTATAGCGTAATACGACACATGAGGTGAAGTATACAAAAAAATATATATTTACATATGTCATTTAATTAAAATGCGACAACCGAGCTTTGTTATATGTATTTATTTAAATATAGAGAAGCACTGTTTTTTAAACGGTTTTATTTAGCTTGATCCGTTTATTTGGGTCAAAATTAGAAATTGAAATTGAAGCACCTTCCCGTTGTCAGATTGATCTGAAATATGATACACATACAATATAATAAAATCAATAACATTATAAATCTAAGATGGCCGCCGATACAAAATGGCGGATTACATATTTTTTCCGAACCCCCTCAATATAGGTATCAAATGAAAAGGCTACACTAGTAAAACACGATGATTATGTCAATTTAAAAAAAAATTGTTTTCAGTGCACAAAAATAAAACGTTTTAACTTGAAAGGTTTTTTAAGTTGATACTAGTGAATTGTTGAGTTGTGTGGTGAATACACCAGCCGCACAACATCTACACAAGATGCTATGCGGAGCTATTTTAGTTAAGTTGTTTTAAATACGTACTTATTGAAACTACAGACAATACTGTAAGTAAATAAAACGCTTCTAATACTCCCTGACGATTATTTCGTGAAAATGCTCGCATCTTTTTCGCGTTGGATGAATTAATTCCGCACAGCGCTGGTATTCCTCAATACAAAGACCACGCTTAATCAGTCAGCGAGAAGACAACAAAGACAGTGTTCGGGAACGCGAGTTATCATTTCTACACTCGCTCCATTTTACAAATCGACTTTAATATCACTCCATACTGAATTATAAAGAAGTATTAAAAAAGTACTTTTAACTGTATAAAACGCAAAATATATTACTTACCTACGGCCCGACGAATTTCGGATGCGATGCAATAGTTTTTAAATAAGTTTCGAATATCCAAAGCTATTATTTAAAAAAAAGTTACAATATTTCGCGTTTTAAACGTTTAAAGTTATTTATTTTACAAAGAAGACTAATCCCGTTTCCCCTATATGAATTAATATTGGATGGAGGTAACTTGTATTTACCATACCCATATCATAAGTACTTCTATAAGTACTACCCGACATATTTACTTACAAAACCAAACGGTTCGTAAAATAATAAATATTCAAGTTATTGCTTTTCACTGTTAATAACAGACTGTATTATTTATTTATTTTATTCCTTATTACAAAACACAAACATACATACATAAATATAAGGTACTTTACGAGGAAAAAGTGTTTTTTTTTTAGTTTCTATAACTTAAAAAGAGGAAGAATATTTATATTGCTGTCTCTGCTTTATTCATTTATTTCTTCATTCAATAAATTTAATTTATTTTCCAGTACTTAAATTACTGAAAAGTTACTGAAAACTTTACGTTGAAACTATCCTCTCCCTGTAATAAAATATATATATTTTTATCTTAAAACGTTACAAGTAACGTTATTTCTTATGACGAAAACATGAGTTTGGATTAAAGAGGTGAATTGACCTGGCGATTAAAGCTCTCTAGCAACTGTTAAAGTAATGAGGTTGTTGGCGAAGAACCAAAGTCGCGGTGGCAGTACTTGGCGCCTCTCGAGCGCCGACACTTCATATAAACGAGAGTGAAGCGCGCGCGCACTCAGTGGAAGTCGGTTGCGGTACGGTCCCGTTGTCAACTGGCGCTCTGCGTACGCGCATCACGGGCGAAGCGCCGTCATCGCGGTTCTGGACTGTCCAGATAAAATGGTGATCTTTTAAAAACTAATTTTTTTTCGACGTTCAAGAATACACGCGGTTAAAAAAACTGTATTTATTGCTTCTATCTGAAATATTGAAAACGCAAAAATGGTGAGTGGAAATAAAAGTCCCAACGATCCAACGAAGATCGCGCCGAAGGATCGCGAGAAGAAAACCAATAATTACATGAGAGCGAACATTTTCTCGAAGACATGGTTCATGTGGATGATGCCGACCTTCTGGCGAGGGTACAAACGCGATCTTTACGACGCCGACCTGACGAAACCGAAAGAAAACCACAATTCTGACAAACTCGGCGATCGCTTAGAAAAGTGAGTATCTTTTATTAGCTATACAAAATTAATAACAATGAAAAGTATGAAAGTAAATATAAATTTAAAATAACAAATAATTAAGAAATAATATTTATCGACGATATGCTATCTTTTACAATGGACTTCAGACCACATTTTTGTCTTTCATACCCTCAAAATTTGTTTAATTTTAAATAAGAAATTTCGTGCGTCACCTTTGTATTGAAATAATACTTTTTTTTTGCTTTTACCAATTAAAATTAACTTTTACGACGTCACTTTTTCTGCTTATTATTATTTATGCAGTTGGAAATTAAGGAATTTTCCCATTTCTTTTTACATTTTGTTTTTTGCGTAATAAATAAGTAAGTGTAACTTCAAATATACAAAACAAAATATTTTCCGGGTTTTGGAAAGGTTTAGAACTAAAAAATTATTGTAATTTCTTACATCGCTGTAACAAAGCGAGATAAAAATTACTTAATTAGGCGAACAATGTTAATATTTGTCTTAAGACATCTTTTGTTATCTTATATCTAGTATTTGAATATGGTTTAGTTATAGTAATTGAATTTTGCATAACAGTTTCATTATTTTCGTTAGGAAATATTGAACAGTTATAACCATTATTGACAAGTATTATTTTTACCAATTTTAAATTGAATAAATTACGTTAATTTCACACTAGAACCCAAAGCAGTCGAAAGACTTCAATAATATATCTTTGAATTATAAAAAAAAAAAACTAAATATGGACGACGAACAAAGAGTAAAAGGATACAAATAATATTTTAAATTAAAAATTAATAATAATTCATGGATAAAATTATTAAGTACGTGTAGCTTGAATAGCTTGAACATAAAGTATATAAGTTATTTACTATTTATTTTAACTCCCTCTCTCCCAGCCACGACTGACGCGACAAGTTATATATATATATTTCACGTTTTAAACTGTTAAAAAGTGTTTATAGGTTATAAGGGAAGTGAAATCTAACATTAGCGATATTACACATTTTTATTAATAATTCATACACTTTTATTAATAATAATTATAATTCTTAAACAATTGTATAAAGAGAATGCCACGTGTAAACTAGTGTATTTAATTTAATCTTAAACATTAAAATTGTTTTATTTAAATGTTTCACATGTTTTTAAACGAACTAGCTTTAATTAACAGGTTGCATTAATAACCGGTAAACGCAAATGATTTTACGATTGTGTAATGATACAGACAATGTCAAAAGCATTACAAGAGGCTTATCTTTATATTTCCCCCAACATGGCAGCGTGGCGACTAACCTTTCTTTTTTAATTATTTCCCTGTGACAATAGTTAGTTTTCTATTGCAACATTTAGTATTTGCTATTTTCATTGTGCATAAAAACTGACTTATTTTTTGAAATTAGCAATTTAATACCTTTAAGAACATTTTTTCTAATTCTAATGTATGTAGATTGTTAGTTATCTGTGGCCTAATAAATGCATACCACAGATCTCCGGAAAAACCTAATAAATATTTGTTTGTGGTAGATGAGGATAGACACGATGTTCGCTTAGGTGAAATACAGCCTTATAACATCTAACGTGTGCTGTCGATCTATATTTTTTGATTTTGATATTCTTATTTTAATTACATTTGTAAGAGTAACTGAGACTTATACTGCCTAGAAGTAAATGAAAGAAGATTACAAAGTACTAATAAGTAATCCCCTTTTTTAGTACTATATTTAAGTGGTAACTTAGTATAGCTATTATGAGCATTTGTGTTTTAGTCTAGTATAGTATATTGTATAGTATTTCGATTGCATAAATTAAAAATGGCGCTTGATTTTTATTTTTAACTATTCGTTTTTTTAATGTTACATCATTAAATAGGTATCTTTAACGTTGTAATTCTGAAAATAGACATATTACCAACAACACTAAACGCCCTTGACTAGCTTCAACAATTTTTTCTAGGAAATATAGTTAATAAGAAAAAACGTATTAAGATATGTAGCTACTAATCGCTTGTAAAATTATTTAATATGTTATATATAGACCTCCAAACGACTGAACCGATTTTGATGAAATTTTGTTAAGCATGCGAATAGGTTTGACCAATTTTTATCTCCCTCTTTACTCATATAATACTTTCTTACACGTTAGGTGTTAGTTCTTTTCAATAAAAAATCTCTGAAAATAATCTATACTGCAAAACAACGTTTGTCGGATCAGATACTTGATTAAAAATAGCAGAAACAATCTGTCTTCAAGCAAAAACCTGGAGCGGGTTCCTGCAATCTATTTATAGCATAAATCATCGTACGTTTACCTCTATAAACCTGGTTTTTCACTATGAACCTCTATAGAAGATGCTTTATATAGTTCGCTTATTAGTCGGGAACAAGTCTGGAACGAGTATTCCATTCCAGACTACGACCAAAGTGAAATTATCTCGGTCTAGACATGCGTAATGTTCAAACTCGGAGGCGGGACGTTGAGTAAGGAAAATATTTACAAATATTATCTATGACATTACCTATTTTTTATCTATAGCTGACCATAGAGTATAAACATCTCTGTAGTTTATGACTTTTTTTTAAGATTAAATCTTCTTTATTACTTAATATAACAAAACTTATGGGTCATTGTGATCGATAGCCATCGTTCTTCGTCCCATGCCCCACAGGGGAATCTAGTTTTTCTTAAGGATTTTTGTACAAACATCTGTAATTCATTTCTCTTATATAATTATGCATAAGTTCTGTCTGTTGTTTACACGAGTGGAACACATTTAAAAAACTTTTTACAGTTTAAAACGCGAAATATATTTGTTAAATCATTATCAATTTTTAACTATGCTTTAAACCGTTAAACGTGTTTTATATCAAGTTACCAAGATAACTAATAGAGTAGATACCGTTACTTAAAAGTTCTCGCTGTCTGTTTTATGGATACTGAAATAATTTGATAGTGTACTTCAATCACTCATTTACGTCTCATTAGTGTCGACATTAATAGCTAATGATTATTATCTAATAGGTACTTATCTAAATAGTGGCCTTCTTTGCTGATTGCGTAAAAATATTGTTTCTTAAGTAGTAATTAACGGGTACTCATTTTGGTACTTGCGACAAATATTACACTTTCGACATACAAATCTATACATATGCTTTACTTAAACAATAGTTATTGTCCGTTCCGCGGATGTCTGTCTACTGAACGCAGTCTTTATTTTTATTTAATTAGGTTTAGCCTGATTTAAATAAAACACTTTTAACAGTTTAAATGGTCACGTGGAGACCAAAGCTGCTGTATGTCGGGCCGTAGTTGTAATAAATTTTAATTAAGTTAACTTCGCGTTTCAAACCGTTAAAAGTGTCATATTTAAACTATCTGTTGCCATTGAATTCGAAATATGTCTGTTAAAGAACATTAACAACCAAATAGACATTTTCTAAGATCAATATTTTACGCCGACAAAGCCACGTGCACAACTATTTAACTTGTAATTAAACAGAAATATGTGTTATCGTTCTTTGTGCCTCTATACTATGTAAATAAGTATTTTTTCTGACATGCAAAGCTCACGATTAACCTTCCCAAGACGACCTGTCTAAAAGACTTCCGCGCATTGCTAAGTTAATGAAGACCTTCGACAAACATCACAAACAAACTGCAAATATTCATTGAGTAATTCTTGTACAAAAAAGTGGATTCAATCCGTTACATTAGGTCAGACACTAATTATCTTCTTGCAAAAGATAAGAGTTTTAGTGACACCAAAAATACCGACGTTAGTATTTTTAACAGGCTAACTTCGACTATGTTCCCAATATTTATATCACCATGTCTAGTTTAAAGCAACTGGTTTTTAACTTCTATATGTACACATTAATATAAAAGTAAAGTTGGCTTGCGGGGCATGGTTCGTCCACGTTTTGCTGAACGATATTAGATGAGGCTGCTGCAGGCAGAGTAATGAGAGAATAAGGAGGAAATAAAAATGCAAAAATAAATATTATTATTTTTAAAACACTTTAACGGTTTAAAACGCGCTATATTAACTACTATATCGCGTTATATAACTAATATATCGCGTTTTAAACCGTTAAGTGTTTTATTTTAATGTGTACTACTCGCGTAAACTATAGACAGTATTTACTATTATTTTACTAATAATTTGTACAATTATTTATGTAAACAATTTTCGGTCACTGTGCTCTTCTAGATTAACATTTTATCCTAAAAATATAAATAACTCGTGGCATAAAAATTGCAGTTTGCTCTAGCGTTCTCCTATATAGCAAAACGATCAGAATATTGTGATCACTGAAACGATAAAAACATTATTTCGCAAATCGTACCTAGGTTCTTCGTGCATGCCAAACTATACTAGTCATTATTACTATTTATAGTATAGAGATACTATTGCGATATGATATTATATGGTATGATACTATTTACTGTTAAAATATAAAGTAGGTACCATTCATCATTATTTTTTGTTATCTTCCATAATTTAGCTACTAAAAGCCTTTGTTGCGATTGGGCATAGGTAGCCATATTTATGTGTCCGTTTAAGCAAGTCGTTAATAACCGCAATCTGTCTAACAAGTGAGATAATAAAACCGTAATAATTCATTGACAATATCTAAAAAATACGATGCCAGACTTACAGCGTTCATGTTTAATCTGTGAGACTTATCGACGACTTGCTAAAATAAAACAGACATATAAATATGTCTACCTAAGCCCGCCAAACAAGAAACTGTTTATCGTTCATCCACTGTCGCAATCAAGGATCTTAGTCGCGGAATTATGGAAGATAAAATAAATTATTCTTAAACGTAACGGTAGTTCCAAAGGTTTATATTTTTTTTATATAATGTCATATAATCTTAATACTTTAAAGTCGTTGTTTACTTAAAGAGTTATGTACGCGAATGAAACTCATTGCGTTCAAGGTTACGCTGTATGTGTTTTGTGTAAACTGTACTTAACACATTCTACAAATATTTGATAAGTAT